ACTGCCAACTACAATGTCTTCATCACCGATAAGACTCACTGAAATATTTTTTTTCGGAAATTTTCAGTTTACGTCGCATTTTGGCACTTCTCCAATTGACATTGACTGATGCGTACGTGCGAGAGTCTTTCGTTCCATGTTTGTGTGGGTTCATTTGTTGCTTTATAGAATATATATTCTTTTATGAATTTTTATAATTATTATTATTATTTTTTTTTTGTTTTTTTATTTATTAAAAACTTTCTGTTTTCTTCAACATATTGGTTGGGCATTCCGTTTGTGTATACATTTTTAATTACTGTCTGCAATAAAAAAATAAAAAAGCACACAGCTAAGTTGTTAGAATTTTATGTTTTTTGTAAATTATGTGCAATCGTAAAAACACAAAAGTTCAGATTTAATAAAAGATATAAGTTTCAAATTAGCAGTTCACTTCAGAGTATTTAGGAACGCTAATTCATGGAATCAATTAATAATGAAATGTGTTATATGAATGAAATGCAACATCTATGGGGATTTTCCAAGTTTTATAGAAAAGAAACACAAAAACACAAAACAATTTGTTTTTGTGTTTTCAAGTGAAGTTATAATAATCGATAATTAATTTTGGAAAAATTGTTTCAATTGAAATATAATGAATCATACTTTAGCAATATTAGCAAAGCAATATCAGCAAAGTAAAAATTTTCCAAGCTATGTATAAGAAAATAAAAATTAATTATAATTCTAAAATGAAAAATATTTCTTTTTCGATTTATTGTCATTAATTAATAGATTAATGTGTCTGTTAAAGACTCTATGGTATATTAGAACAACAGACATACACAGAGATCTAAGGACTCAGTGAAAAAATATATCAAGGGCAGAGCTCTAAAATTATTCACAAAAGTTGATACGTTGCCCAACCCTCCCCTAACAAACTTTAAGTACACCTCAGGACGCACAGGAAGATATGCTGATCTACGGTCCGTCATCAGTTAGAAGATAAGCTCTGAAGCTTTATTATTATATAGCATTATATTATTTTATTAAAACATATTCGATAGGTATTTATAACATATTTACAAAGCACTTAATAAGTTTATTTGATGCAGTTCTGTGGTATTTAAATAAATTAACAGGTTTTAAGTCGTGTTTTGAAACATGTTCCTACTAATAATGCATGTTCCTACTAACTACTTCCTGTCAGCAAACACTGAAGTACGTTTGAGAACTCTTTGGATTTAAGCACCCGCAGTTTAAATCGGTATTCCTAAAAAGCTAATACAACTCTGAAAGATGACTTTACGCAATTGTTTACAATTTACAAACTTTTTCGCGACATGTTAAGTTTTACACATGGTAATCGCTTTTCCTGAAATCACTTCAAATTCATAAAGGAAATTATTTAATATATATATAAATATATATATATATATATATATACACCAAAATATTCTCCATGTACTCCAGCTAAGACAGAATATTTAATATATATGTCCATCTTCATGTATTGACTGACAATATCGATATCATTAGGTTTAGGAAGTATTAATGCTCTTTTAAGCTAGAATCTATCAAACTTGACGGTATGTTGTATTAGACCAGATACAGCAAATTACTAGCAGAAACTAGCAAAAAGATACATAGTTAATGGATTGTTACCTAAGCTATTAGAGATCTTATCTATTTTGAGGCTATCATTCGCAATAACAACGATAACATATGGAAGATGTCTTACGGACGAAGAATTATCATAAACAATAAAGTACAATACATGTTTTATTAGGGGCTCGATGTAGAACTGGGATATAGAGTTTCAACTACAAAACTTAAACTTTATAAGCTATGTATCGCAATTTTTTTCTATACATAACACCACAACATAAAAAGGTAATACGTAATAATGTAACCACATTAATGAGGAAAACTCTCACCAAGATCATTGCATCTTTATGTATTCATATTGGTTCCATAATTTAAATAAATCAAGAATTAAATAAGCTTTATAATCATTTTGATATTATTTAGTGAATTAATATACAACAGCTATGACTATCTCTTGATGACTGGAAATGATGAACTATAAAAACTGATCTCTAAATGGTTATTGGAGTACTTGAATATAGCTGAAGACCATGATTTCGGTTAAAATAGAGCAGTAGTAATCACTCCTCAGAACATGTATGCAAAAAGTAACAATGGAGTAGTCAGAAATTTTGAACTTATGTACTTATTTCTTTGGAACCAAAATAAAAGTTTGAAAATTCCTTTGTAGTTTATAAAACAATTTTCTACCCTTCTTTCTTCTTTTAGTACAGCACTTCATCTTAAAGGTGTAGTGTAAATCATTTTACCTTAACATCCAATTTTCTGAAATAAACATTTACCAGAGTGGTTTCGAAAAGTAGTGAATTTTAACAACAACAAATTTTATTATTTTTGTTATATTAATTAATTGATTTTTGGTTGACCATACAGTTGTCGAAACCTCTCTATTTAATACAATAGTTTTCATTAAGTAAAATAGTTACTGTCATCATAACTGACGTTAAAATCGAATCGTTCAATAAGTATATATATGTATATATAATATATATTTGCATACATACTTTATATAATATTAAAATGTGCGGAAATATGTTATGTCTCCAGATATATATCTATATATATCTTTATAAATATTTCCAACTATAATATAACAATATAATTATAATTATATGATAAAATATATATATATATATATATACAATAGATAAGTTAAGTATACATATACAGATTGTACAGATTGTATATATATATTTTTTTTATATACACATATATGAGATATAATCCACATATTTTAATATATTATAAACTACTCACATTGAATTATATTATAACTTAGTTTTAATTTTATTTAAATATATAAAAATTTGAAATTATTTATTCCATTTGTTAGGTATATCTATTTTAGTTTTAAATGCTAAAAATAATAATATAAATTTTTAAACATTAATTTTATTCTAATTACAAATTTTATTGAATAAAAAAAGCTTACAAATTTATTTCTAAAATTGAATTTGTTCGAAGCTGATAGTATAAAAAGTATAAAATAACAGTTGTGAAAATGTTATTATAAATTATTATCACAAAATTATTGCTTAAATTTATCTATAAACGTTTAGTATTACACAAGCCGCTAAATACGCCTACAATAATTTTCATTGTAATTTGAATGGATTTCGACAATTTTTATACTTACATGAGTATTAAAAATTATTTTGTTTACCAAAATGAATTAACTCAGCAAAAATAAAAAAATAAAATTTATAAATTTATTTCATTAAATTTAATATTTAACAAACAAATATTTTTATTTAAACAATTAATTTGGTTGAGAAAAAAAAATAAAAACACAAATTTGCTTATAAGCAAAAAACACTGTCTGTCATTTGTTTGAAATTTGCATAGTTTCTTCTCGGTTTTCTCTTTTTGAACATTTTATTTTGATTTAGTAGTGCAATTTTGATTAAAACAAATTAAAAATTTTCACATATCATAATTTTAAATAAATAAATTAAACTTTATATGAAACGGAAAATTTGTGCTCGACCGTGTCAAGAAAACGTTTTGCCGGTGGCACACGCTTTTGGCGACTAAAACGCGACGAATTGAACAAAATGAAAACTTGTGACGTCGCCGTTGAAGAAAAGCATGCACGGCGAGTAGATCGACAGAAACGAAGAAGTCAAAAAAATCAAAAAAATATATGTCGTAGAGAATATTGCCTTCCCGATGTACTGAACCAAATAAAATCCCGCAGAATTTGCCAAAAGAGCTGAGCTGCAGTAACTCAAGTTCCGAACTTCATGCGATGCCGATCCGATCCTCATTCTTCTCTTGCTGTGCTGCTTGTGGGTTGCCGTTGTTTTTATCATTTGACAGCCATTTTGCGAATTGTTAACAGAATCTGCAGAGCAGCATATGGCCAAAATTTCATATATTGAAGAAAAAAAAATTCAATAAAAAAAAGACATTAATATAGTGAAAAATAAATAAACAAAATAATATAAATGATTTTAAGTTAAATTAGAAAGCAGCATGACCCGAATTCATTCCAATTTGAAATACTTATTGAGTCCATGAAGCGCCGTGCAACACATTTTGGAATGAACTTTTTTTCTTTTTTTGAGTTTCATTATCTTTTTTTTTCTAATCAAAAAGTTGAAGGCCTCTTCAGTACACTTAAGTATCTCCGAAATGTTTATCTTGGCCGCGTATCGACCCAGCACACCAGTGTGCCTGTCAGTGTAGGAGTTTATTTTATATTCGGTGTAATTGCTCGGCTGGAAATTTAGTTTTTGCAATAATTGTTCGCCGCTCAACTCTTGTGGATAACACAGAAAAATCGTTTAAATCATTCGAATCGAACATTCTGTATTCTGTATTTATAAGTCTATAAATACAGACTCAAGTATTTGGAATAATGAAACAAATGTGCTCCACTGCCAAATATGTAAGTTGGAAGTAATTAAGTCATAAATAAAAATAATTGAATTTTACATTGCATGTAGAAGAAATGATTGATTACAATTTGAGCACAAGAATAAACGTTTAATAAAAATGTATTTTTAATGTATACTATATACTATATACTGTATATGTAAATAAGAAAGTTCCATTTGAAAACAAAATCAGAAAACTAAAGATTTATGAGATTTGAGGAATAAAAATGCGTTTGAATCTTACAATTGCTTATACGATTATCGAATGATGAACAAAAGTGAACGAGACAGTTGAGGAGTTAGCTAACCTGGGTACATTCTAGACAAACTCTAAGTTTTGCTTTATACTCGTATCTATTACAGAAAAACGATCATGTTTTATTGCCAGGTCCAAAGTAGTTGATCACATCTCAAGATGAAAAGCGACACGAGCTATAAACTACTTATTTAGGAGTTCAAACTATCTAGAATTCGACAATCCTACTTAGAATGTAAGTCGTCGGTACGGTATGCCATTTCCCAAGATTATTAGATCTAAGCACTACTATTTATACTACTACTACTACTATTTATTTCACTACTACTACTACTTATTCTACTACTGCTACTAGTACTACTACGAATATTGCTACTACTGCTACTACAACTATTGTTGCTACGGCTACTACTGCTATTACTACTGCTACGACTATTGCTACTACTGACACTATTATAATTACAACTATTGCTATTACAGCTACTACTTCCACTGCTAGTAGTACTACTACTACTGCTATTATTATTACTGCTACTAGTACTACTAATACTAGTACTACTGCTTATACTACTACTATAAAAATATTGTATGTTATGTATTATTTTTTCACTGCATTTTCAATTTAGGAATTAGTCAAGTTCTTTGATTTTTTGAAAGATTTTTTTAACGAAAATCAAAGAAAATGTCGTTTTCGTTATAACTATTTTAAATTCCATTTTCGGAATCAAACATTAAACGAAGTCTATTCTATTTTAGTCTATTAAAAAAAAGTTATAAATATTATTATTTTTCCATAAACATGAGTTTAATGGAAGTGGACAATGACTATGCAAATTCCTTCATCAATCCGTTATCATACATCCTGTTTTTAGTATCCGGAATACTAGTTAGATATTCATAGAACAATCTCAAGAGGTCTATATATATATTCAGAAAATTTAATCCAAGTCTTTATACAGAAACTTGACTGACTATACACTCCAGCAATCACAAATTTGTTAACAAATTTCCAACCTAAAAGCTTGGTGACCAAAGTGTTCTTCATTTGATCTAATGACGTATGTTTTTAACTTTAATGATCAGATTCGATGATTGAATAAAAAAAAATTTGAATAAATTAAAACAAATAATTTCAATTTTCTAATTTTATTGATTAAATCATATTTTATTTATAACAATATATTTTTTAAAATAGACTTTTACATCAAATCTGACTCCATTTTTATTTATTAAAAAGGAATTGCCTCAATCTTCTCAAATGTGCATATATTTTTAATTAAGGTTTAGTTTATTGAAAATTTCTGAATTCTAAATTAATCTAAATCATCTAAATACATCTAGATTATAAAGAAGAAGATGTGTTCTATTATTTCATATTCGAGGAATATTAATTCTACCACATTCTCATCTTCATACAATTCTGAAGACAACTCACTATCATCATCTAAAGATGTTTCGGTTTCTGAAAAGTCTACTGAAGATTCTACTGTAGAGTCTCTTGGAGAGTCTACTGCTAATTCTGGTAGCAAACATGAATCTCTCGGTTCATTCTCGACTTCATCTTGCTGCATATGATGTGAAGACAATTCAATATCATCAAAAGATTTTTTGTCATCTGCTGAGTCTACTGGTAATTCTTTCGATTCTGTGTCTTCATATTGCTGCATACGATGTGAAGACAATTCAATATCATCAAAAGATTTTTCGCCATCTGATGAGTCTTCTGGTAGTTCTTGTGATGAAGATTCTGATAGACTGCATGAATCTATTGACTCATTCTCTTCTTTAGCATCTGACTCCATCCACGAATCATCAGATGGTAAGGGTGAACGATTAAATTGGTGCAAATTTTTATAAGCACTAATTTTATTAAAGATATCATAATGATAGTAAGTTTTCATAATCATGTTGTTAGATCTACTTCTTTTGGCATAACAGTGATCATTTTCTATGACATCTAGTGAAGATGCAGTATTCATTGTTTCTTCTTCGAAATCGGTATCTTGTATTTTACGTTTAATTGCTGGACGTTCCCATGAATTATCCATAATATCAGGTTGATTGGAACTGGATATTGTTGGATTCTGATGATTAGAGTTTAATCGACTTACAGCAAGCACATCATTACTTGTGGACCTTGAAGAACGTTCTGATCGATAGTCCATGATAATATTAGTTGGATCGAATTCTGAATAATTGCCATTTACAGAATTTGGTTCATTGTGGATGCCTGTCATCTTCAAACTTTCATTTATTTCTTTTTTCAATCTGCTCCGGGTTATTCTAAAACTCTTTTGTAATCCAAAGTATTCACTTTCTAAATCGAATTCATTATCTTCTAATTCAATGTTTTCATATACTTCTGCTACTGCTTTGAATTGATCTCTTAACTCTTCCAAATATGTAGCGGCATCTTCATAAGCATCCGATAATAATTCCTTCATCCAGGTTATTTCTCTCTTAAATTTTCTGATTAATATTCTGTTTCTTTTTTTCTGATTAATGGAATATGTTGACATGTTTTCTTCTTGTAGATTTTCCATTTCTTAAATTCTTCTTCTTATATTATACTTGTTATAAATTTTTACTTTTCTATTTCGATGCTGATCAAAATGTTTAGAAATAATATTCAAACGTTCAAGTCTTGGTTAAACACTGATTTTTGAATCGAGTGTTATCCTATTTATATTAAAATATCTCCATGTCGTAAAGGTTAGTAAATAAAGTTATTAGCGCGAGTGTATTTAGCAGATAAACAAAAATATGACCTGCTCTACAGCGTAAATAGAGAAGGTCACGCATCCTTTATTAGGAATTTTTATATTAGGTTTTTTATGGTCTTATTTATTTAATATGATTTTCTAAAAAACTAATATTTGTTTTCCTTGAACATATATAATTAGCAACGGTACAGGTATTTGTTTTCCTTGAACATATATAAATTGCAAGGATTTAGGTACTTCATATGACTTATATTGTAATACTGTAATTTCAATTTGATACATTATTTAATTAGGGTATTATATTATATATCATTAATGCTTATTTTTAGAATTTCGTAAAAAAATGTTTTTGAATAATATTATGATTCTGAGAAAAACAAAATATTATATATGGACCTCATTTTAACGAACCTCAAACAGTTACAATTTAGTAACATAAAATTAATTAATAATTAATTTTAATTAATTTTGTTTAATATGAATTAAACTCATAGACTTAATTCATAGATGATCCACAGATCTGGTTGGCGAAATAAAGATATTAATCCAGAAAAATTGTTTTGAATGATTATAAATAGAAGTTGTAAAAATATTTAATGTATTATCACAAAGGTACCAAATAAAATGTGTTGATCAGAAGTAGCAACATTCTGGCATATTCCTTTAGTTATTTTTTTAACAGTAAAATTGTCACAAGAGAGCCTTAAATTTTCTGGGACGATCCTGGGTTTAGTGCAAATTCGTACTATATAATCTTTTCTAATTATGTCACATTACAAAGGTGACCTATTTTGAACATTTCAACTAATCTGTGTATAAGAAATAATATGATATATTGAAAAGACATTGGACAAGCCATCAAACATCAATATTGTTTCCAATATTGTTGCTAAGTTATATATCACCATACAGTAATCAGATTGAAAGTGATCAGATTGAATTCTTAAGTCAATTCTATAACCTGTAAAGTGACCAGATTGAATTCTTAAGTCAATCGTATCTAGCAAAAGTAACTTACTGAATATTCTTTTTACTGGCCTAAAAAATGATCCTTCTTGGCATAGTTAAGACTCTTAAGATAGATGCCTCTAAATTTATTTTCTTTATGCGAATCATGCGAGTGACTTATTATAAGTACATAGAGGAGATCAATTAACTTTTAATCTAACTTTAAGTTTAATAATTGGGCATATTATAACTCGTATGTGCTTTATATCCTAGGACCCATTTTAATACCGTAAATCATTGACGTTCTAAAGATGTTCAGCACTGAGACAATTGATTTTTCGATTATCGTGTTTTAATTAAATAAAAAGATGCAATAAAAATAAAAATTATTCTTCTGTCTCTGCAAACGATCTAAAGTTTGACAAATAGGACCGAAAATATATATAACTTTTCGCTGAAACATAATACTCTACCATTTCGCTTTCTGAAAACTTTTAAATACTCCATATTAAATTGTATATATAGTATATAATTATAGTAGACCTATTAGTATAATATTGTTGCGTTTGTTCCACTCTTTTTTCGTGGACGTTCGCAATGAGAAATTAGATGAGAAATTACAGTCAACTTGAGTTTAGTGTTTAGTCAACTAAACTGACATTCCTAGAAATTATATCAAAGTTTACTTAAATTCCATATTCACAACAATATATATTTAAAATGACATTCCAATATAGCAGAAAACGAGCGCGGAAATGAGCTAGCTAGCGGACTCATACTATCCAGCAGTCAGGTCAAGAGCTACATAGCCATTTTTATGTTATATGTAGAAACTTCAATTTGGGACACAGAAGCTATTCGAAAGGGGGTAGATCTGTCATCCTAGCAGGATATTGGACTTTTGGATGACAAGAAGACAGGATGAGTCTACCCTGAAGTATCTCCAAGAGTCAATATAGACTCTAGACATATAGTCTACCGACGCACAGTGTGCAAAAATGAAAATATGGGTGTTTTCTAAACTAGGAGAGATATGGAAATGAAATTTTCCTTAAAGTCCAAAAGTGTCGTAGTTTGCCTACCCCCTTACGAAATTCCCCTAAGAAATAGTTCATGTTTTCTAAAAAACTTAAGAGTAAATGTTTTTTATACTACTAATTAAAAAATTATAATTTTTTATGTTTTTATAAAAAAAAATTTTTAATTTTAATTAACAGTAAAAATGTGAAAAAAAATCTTTTTCACTTCTATCTGCAATACCAAAGTTTTTACATAAAATTTTTGCTACTAATATTAATAGTAAGTATAATTTTTCCTTTATGACAGGCGATAACAAACATAGAAACTAGACTGGCTGAAGCAGGACTAGAAAACTTCAACTTAACAAATTTAAAATCTATGAAACTTTCTATAAAGATTTAAATATTGAATTCTTGTTTATAATTCAGCGTTCTTTTTTACAGATCGGCAACTGGCACAAATTTATTAAATATCTTATATTAAGTACAATCCAATATTTAGATGCCTAACCACAATCCATTTTATAATTATGAGAAGGGTACCACACCTTCGATACACATTAAGGAAACCACATAATGAAATTGATTATCAACTTTTGAGTCCGCAAGGAAGAACTAGAAGAACGGTGCAGATAAAAAATTACATGACATGATATGTAGGTGAGGAAAGCATTCCACAAGGTCCACAAGAAATTTCAAAAACCTGAAAAATCTTCAAACAATTTTTAGTTGTTCGATCAGAGCTTTTACTCAGCGTTGAAAATTTATAAAAGTAATTTAGATTTTAGAATTTAGATTTATTTCAATTTAAATAATTCAATCTTATGTGCGAAATTTATATTTTTAATTAATGGATTAAAATTTTTGAAAATACAACCGCATTCTTTAAAATACTGGTTAATTAGTTTAGAATTAGTTTATCTAGAATAAGAAGAGTTAGCTTCATAATTAACACTGCGCTCTCTGTGGTGAATCTTCCGGGGATTCTGGCAGCTTCCATAATTCGTTCCATGCATTCTCAACTTCATATTTTTGCAGAGGCAATTCACTATCATCATTAAAACAGCTTTCGTCATGTGATGAATCTACTGGATATTCTGGTAGCAACCATGAATCTATCGATTCATTCTCGACTTCATATTGCCGCCCATGATGAGGAGGCAACTCAACGTCATCTGAATATGTTCTTACATTTCGTTTATGTGTTGAAGATCGTGATAAATAACATGCATGGCGATCATCGTTCTCGTCTTCAATTTGCTGTAAACAATATGAAGGCAATTCTGTGCAGCGTGATATTGAATCGTAATTATCAACTAAAGATTTTCTTTCATTTCCGTCAAGTAATGAGTTTTTCTGATATTCTGATTGCTGCACATTTGACGAACCATTCCATACATTATCGTTCTCATAATGCTGCTTATGATGCGAAGGCAAATTTATGTGATGTGATCGACGGTTGTAAGTATCAAGATCATCTGATGATGTGGGTGAATGATTAAAATTATATAATTTCTCACAAGCACTGAT